GAGGCAACGGTGGAAGAGGAAGAAAAGGAGGCAACGGTGGAAGAGGAAGAAAAGGAGCCAAATGGGGAAGAGGAAGAAAAAGAGGCAACGGTGGAAGAGGAAGAAAAGGAGGCAAAGGTGGAAGAGGAAGAAAAGGAGCCAAAGGGGGAAGAGGAGGAGTGGACTTGCCCTATCTGCTTGGAAATATGCGAACCAGACGGGACATGGAAACAAGAGATGCCTTGCTGCCCTCAAGACATGGAAACAAGAGATATCTTGACCACGTCGACAGGATGATTTCGTGACAAGTCTCCCACATCGATTTCTCTCCCCTTCGGCAATACCACAAACCACTCTTATAAGCTCACACATTCTCAGATTCTCTAGATATATTTTTATCTTCCCCTCAAGAGTCATATGTCTCTCTTCCTAGGAGACTCTTTTTATAGGGAGGGAAGAAAGGTCTAGAAGGTGGAGAGGAAAAGATGGGTTGAGGTTTTAATTAATTAAGTAAATGTTAATTTTTTTATAAAAATATACTTTTGAATTATTAAATTAAATTCATTTCTACCATTAAGATGGTGCATGCATGGGGAATGTCCTTTCGTTTGAAAGTGGCGTGTTGGTGGAGTGGGAAAACCAAAGGTTTTCTGCTCCGTTTGTTTAGTAATACGTGTCTGATTTTCACAGTTTCAATCAACATTTTTAGAAAAATATAAAACTTATATTCTTGAGTTTTATATTTTTTAATTTGTACATTATTTTAACATAATTTATTTATCAAGAAACTAAGTTTACTTGTTCAAAAAAAATTATTTGAGTAGTAAACATAACAGTCACTAAAACATTCTCTATTATTTTATTTGTTTTCCTCCTTATGTGATGTATAACGCAGAATCAAAATTCAAAATTTAACTTAATATTTTACTCCCCTTTTTTAAAAGAAGAATCATAGAACTATTTATTTTCTGCCAATTTCAAGTAATAATATTTTTTCTTTTCGTTCTATTTTTTTTAATTTAATCGTAACATCTTTTTTTTTAAATTTAATTTCATAAATACTAAATTTATAATTTTTACTTAAAATTTAACAAATTCATAGACCAATTTTCAGGGCGTTACAGCAACAGTGCAAATATATTTTAATTCGGAGAAAGTTTGACAAAAAAATGTACACCGAGTTAAACCAAATTAATCCCAATCGGAGAGTGGCGTGTAAATCCCTAGAATCGTTGTTCAGCCCAGTACCGCTGATTCTACTTAGGGCTATAAACAGATAATATCCGCCACAGTTATGGCATATCTGAATCTGAATCCAATTAAGTCTTGGAATATCCGAATCTGTATCCATATCCAATGGATATTTACATATCTACATTTTAATCCATATCTGACGGATAATTTTCAGTTTCGGATATATTCGAATCCGATTAAATATCTAAAACCGATCAAGTGCCCGAATCCGACCGAATGTCAATGTGTTCAAACCTGAAAACAAAAATGTAAGATAAGCCAGATAGATTCAAACCCAAGACCGCTGGCCTCTAAATTTAAAGTTGCAGCAATCTATGCTAAGGTTCCGTTCAACTTATTTTTTCCTATTTTTTTCTTATTTTATTAAAATCATATCAGATCAGATTAGACCAGATCTATTCAGATCAGATTAGACCAAAACAGATCTAATTAGACCTGATCAGAGCATATCCAATCAGACCAGACCAGACCAAATTAAATCCAATCAAGAATTATTATTATTATTATTATTATTATATTATTATTATTATTATTATTATTATTATTATTATTATTATTATGATCATCATCATCATCATCATATATTTTAAAATAATCTACATCTAACTATAATGTTTTTTTAAATAAACCTCATACAGTTTATAATTATATGCATACTTATTTTATGTGATAATATTTTATTATATTTTAAAGTACTTTAAAAATTTTGACAATTTTTTATATAAACATAAATTAGAATATTTATACCAAGCTATAGGTCATTGAAAGTGAGAAAGTGAATGTTGAAATCCACAATACTAAACAACATCAAATACGTAAAAAAGTATTGTATATAAATAATAAATACTTAACCAAAAAATGATTCGAACAAAAATATAAATACATAATCGACCAAGTACTTTGTGGAAATAATGAGCCAAAAGTTAATGTATAATGGGCTGGATAAATTATTATAAATAATGAAAAAATTAATTCGGTATTCGGATAAACGGATATTTGAATAAATGGTTATCTGAACGGATGTATATTCGAAACCGGAATTGGCGAATCGGTACTGAAAATTGGGCCACCTGATACTGGTTACATGTTTGGAGTTTGGTTACTAGAGTCAGACCGATCAAATTTAATTTCAATGGTAATTCTGTAATAAAAATTTAGTTCTAGTGATAATATTTTGATCGACTTATGAAGTTCCCTCAATGTTGAATTACTAGAGATACTAGTTTGCAACCAAGATTGACTCTTGGAGACGTTTAACACAAGAGCCAGAATATGACATGGATACACAAAACTATGCGAACGTAACCACGGATGGAAGTGGTTGTTCAAACGAAGGACTTACTCAATTTTTTTATAATTGTAAATTATTTTTTTAAGTGAGCGTATTTCGAAAGGTTTTTTATGAATATTTACCTTGTCATTTTTTTAACTGTCATGACATTAAATGTAGTTGGTACTTGCACTACATAATTTTCACTATTACATACGGAGTAGTAAATAACAATTACATGTAGACATAAAAATTAGCCATGTCATTATTTATATCCAAAATATAAAATGAAATATTAGACCGAAATAGAACAAGAATTACTGGTTCCGAAATCAACATCGCCACCGCTTACTTCCGAGACAGAAGAGGTTTTGCTGACCGTCATACTAGACCATATCGTGTCTATGGCTAGAGGGTGTGATAAATGTTGGGGTGTATACGAATCAAATCAAAGCAAGTATCTCATTATTCGATTCGAATTCGTTTGAAATGATATTTCTTCAAATTCAAATTCGTATATAATTCAAATTTTAAGAAACATTGGTATTTGACTCGCTGACATATTTCATGTATTCGAATTCGATATTAGTAGAATCTTTTGAACAATTTTTTTGAAGATCATACATTACAATTTTTATAAACTACGAGTAACCTATATGGCTACGAATTTGGAAGCAACGTCCTCAAAAGGAATATACTTGAAGACGGGAAAATATTGGGCTGACGCTCTAAACTTGTGATGCTAGAGAGGAAGATGAACACTAGAAGCCTATAACACTTTGTGTTACGCTAGATGACAATTTTGATATATGAAGATGAGGACAATCAATGAAATTGAAAGTAGCGTTGAGTGTATGTGGTGGTGAATATGGTGATTGATAAAAATAGATAAGATTGAGTTTGTTTGATATTGTAAGGATCTTGACCATTAAAATATTTAATCCAAAGTATACAAACAACTAGGGGTGTATTAGTGTATATTTATTTATTTATACTATTCGAGTTATTTGAAATATAGTCGAATCGAATCTATTAATACTTATATTCGAATATAATTCGAATCTAAAACTTGATTCGTGTCCAGATTTGAATTTGATTAAAACGCATATGAATCATGTTTTTCGAATACAAATCAAGAATTGAATTGATAAAATGTATGGATGCAACCCAATTAAATCATAATTTTGAGTACCTAATGTGTAATTGATACAAAGTTGAGGGATTCATTTTAGATTTATAATTAAAACCTCCCCTGTTCAAACTTTAAACCCTCTGCTCCTCTCCATCTTGCTCGTTCTCCTCCACTATCCCCTTGCCGCCACTCCAACAGAGCTCAAACCCCGCCCGTCCTCCCTAAACCTACAATTTTTTGAGTCCATGAGGAAGAAGGTCGACCAGCGTATCAGAACCCTCATCGAGAATGGCGTCAAAACCCGCCATAGATCCATTTTCGTCATCGTTGGAGACAAGTCCCGCGACCAGGCACTCGGCTTCATTTAAAAAAATAAATTTTTCATCGAATTGGTATTCAATTAGCACAAAGATGATATTTTTTATTTACTCATTGTTTTGGAAATAGATTGTGAACCTGCACTACATGTTGAGCAAAGCTATGGTGAAGACCCGCCCGACTGTGCTCTGGTGCTACAAGGACAAGCTTGAAATTAGCAGGTTTCTTAATTATATTTTTCCGTGGAGTTGGGTTGTTTGTGAATAAATATATGCTTAATTTGATTGAAGGAAGACAGGTAACTTGTGATTTGCCATATAAGTTGTGATTGTTATTATGTTCAGTCACAAGAAGAAAAGGAGGAAACAGTTAAAAAAATTAATTCAGAGAGGGTTGATAGATGAGGAGCGAGCAGACCCTTTTGATCTTTTTGTAGAAACTGGTGGTGTTTCTTACTGCCTCTATAAGGACTCAGAAAGAATTCTTGGAAACACTTTTGGCATGTGTGTGTTGCAGGTATATCCACTACTCCACTAGATAAATTTGCGTGCTGTAAAAGAGCACTTAGAGTTTGTTGTTGTTGTTGTAATATCGCATGTTTAGCTACTTTGCGTTTTATGTAACTTTCTTGTTATTGACTTGCACTAGGATTTTGAGGCTCTGACACCCAATATTTTAGCAAGAACTATAGAGACAGTTGAAGGTGGTGGTTTGATTGTTTTGCTGCTTCGATCCTTGACCTCATTGACGAGTTTATATACCATGGTTATGGTATGTACATGCCATAATAATTACTCATTTACTGCAATGGATTTGCATGAGATTTCATGTAAAATTTCCCTTTTTTTGCTCCACCCTGTTCTAACTATGTTCGTTTAACATTACAAGACATTTTACTCCACAAATTACGGAGTATGATAAAAAATTTACATTTCTTCTCTTCTCTAATTCTCTTTTACACTTGTGCCTGCCTTGACACACACACTTCTGTGCTTCCTAAGTTCTTCTATTACATTGTATGAAACTCAATATGACTTATTGTAAATTTGTACCCACCTAACAATCTGAAGTGTGATTTTAATTTACACGCACCTAATATACACACCTAATTTATATGCACCTATCTTTTTAAGTAGTCTTAGCTTTTGAGTGGACTATTTTAACATCAGCAAGTAAAACCCCATTGAGTGAGATCCTGGGATGGTGAGTTTATGCAAACCTTTTCCCCACTTCAAGAGTAGATATGTTGTTCCCAAAAGAGCTCATAAAAAAAAAGTAACACTGAAGCACTAGACACTAGAAAGAGAAAAGGGAATGACAAAGAAAATCTGCACAAAAGAAGCATGCATGTATGTAAAAGCAACAAATAAAGGCAACAAATCCTACACAAGGGTAGCACACTACCCGAGATCCTATCCTAACACTCTAATCCTAGAGACATCGCTTTTTACGGTCATATCCTCGATAAAATCTTGAAAATGCAAGTCATGTCATAACCTCT